ATACTGGGTCACAAATCGGGTCTGAACCGATACCAAAAGATTGGGATCGTCCCCTGCATATTCTCAGACCATAACGCCTTGAAATTAGAACTCAATCACAAGAAGAAGTTTGGAAGGACCTCAAACACGTGGAGGTTAAGGACCATCCTGCTAAAAGATAAAAAGGTCAACTAGGAAATTAAGGAAGAATTAAAAAGATTCATGGAAACTAATGAGAATGAAGATACAACTGTTCAAAATCTTTGGGATGCAGCAAAAGCAGTCCTGAGGGGGAAATACATCACAATACAAGCATCCATTCAAAAACTGGAAAGAACTCAAATACAAAAGCTAACCTTACACATAAAGGAGCTAGAGAAGAAGCAGCAAATCGACCCGACACCCAGCAGAAGAAGAGAGTTAATTAAAATTCGAGCAGAAATCAACGAAATTGAGACCAGAAGAACTGTGGAACAGATCAATAGAACCAGGAGTTGGTTCCTTGAAAGAATTAATAAGATAGATAAACCATTAGCCAACCTTATTAAAAAGAAGAGAGAGAAGACTCAAATTAATAAAATCATGAATGAGAAAGGAGAGATCACTACCAACACCAAGGAAATACAAACGATTTTAAAAACATATTATGAACAGCTCTACGCCAATAAATTAGGTAATCTAGAAGAAATGGACGCATTCCTGGAAAGCCACAAACTACCAAAACTGGAGCAGGAAGAAATAGAAAACCTAACAGGCCAATAACCAGGGAGGAAATTGAAGAAGTCATCAAAAACCTCCCAAGACACAAGAGTCCAGGGCCAGATGGCTTCCCAGGGGAATTCTATCAAACGTTTAAAGAAGAAATCATACCTATTCTACTAAAGCTGTTTGGAAAGATAGAAAGAGATGGAGTACTTCCAAATTCATTCTATGAGGCCAGCATCACCTTAATTCCAAAACCAGACAAAGACCCCACCAAAAAGGAGAATTACAGACCGATATCCCTGATGAACATGGATGCAAAAATTCTCAACAAGATACTAGCCAATAGGATCCAACAACACATTAAGAAAATTATTCACCATGACCAAGTAGGATTTATCCCCGGGACACAAGGCTAGTTCAACACTCGTAAAACAATCAATGTGATTCATCATATCAGCAAGAGAAAAACCAAGAACCATATGATCCTCTCATTAGATGCAGAGAAAGCATTTGACAAAATACAGCATCCATTCCTGATCAAAACTCTTCAGAGTGTAGGGATAGAGGGAACTTTCCTCGATATCTTAAAAGCCATCGACGAAAAGCCCACAGCAAATATCATTCTCAATGGGGAAGCACTGGGAGCCTTTCCCCTAAGATCAGGAACCAGACAGGGATGTCCACTCTCACCACTGCTATTCAACATAGTACTGGAAGTCCTAGCCTCAGCAATCAGACAACAAAAAGACATTAAAGGCATTCAAATTGGCAAAGAAGAAGTCAAACTCTCCCTCTTCGCCGATGACATGATACTCTACATAGAAAACCCAAAAGCCTCCACCCCAAGATTGCTAGAACTCATACAGCAATTTGGTAGCGTGGCAGGATACAAAATCAATGCCCAGAAATCAATGGCATTCCTATACACTAACAATGAGACTGAAGAAAGAGAAATTAAGGAGTCAATCCCATTTACAATTGCACCCAAAAGCATAAGATACCTAGGAATAAACCTAACCAAAGAGGTAAAGGATCTATACCCTAAAAACTATAGAACACTTCTGAAAGAAATTGAGGAAGACACAAAGAGATGGAAAAATATTCCATGCTCATGGATTGGCAGAATTAATATTGTGAAAATGTCAATGCTACCCAGGGCAATTTACACGTTCAATGCAATCCCTATCAAAATACCATGGACTTTCTTCAGAGAGTGAGAACAAATTATTTTAAGATTTGTGTGGAATCAGAAAAGACCCCGAATAGCCAGGGGAATTTTAAAAAGGAAAACCATATCTGGGGGCATCACAATGCCAGATTTCAGGTTGTACTACAAAGCTGTGGTCATCAAGACAGTGTGGTACTGGCACAAAAACAGACACATAGACCAATGGAACAGAATAGAGAACCCAGAAATGGACCCTGAACTTTATGGTCAACTAATATTCGACAAAGGAGGAAAGACGATCCACTGGAAGAAAAACAGTCTCTTCAATAAATGGTGCTGGGAAAATTGGTCATCCACATGCAGAAGAATGAAACTAGACCACTCTCTTGCACCATACACAAAGATAAACTCAAAATGGATGAAAGATTTAAATGTGAGACAAGACTCCATCAAAATCCTAGAGGAGAACACAGGCAACACCCTTTTTGAACTTGGCCACAGTAACTTCTTGCAAGATACATCCACGAAAGCAAAAGAAACAAAAGCAAAAATGAACTATTGGGACTTCATCAAGATAAGAAGCTTTTGCACAGCAAAGGATACAGTCAACAAAACTCAAAGACAACCTACAGAATGGGAGAAGATATTTGCAAATAACATATCAGATAAAGGGCTAGTTTCCAAGATCTATAAAGAACTTATTAAACTCAACAGCAAAGAAACAAACAATCCAATCATGAAATGGGCAAAAGACATGAAGAGAAATCTCACAGAGGAAGACATAGACATGGCCAACATGCACATGAGAAAATGCTCTGCATCACTTGCCATCAGGGAAATACAGATCAAAACCACAATGAGATACCACCTCACACCAGTGAGAATGGGGAAAATTAACAAGGTAGGAAACGACAAATGTTGGAGAGGATGCGGAGAAAAGGGAACCCTCTTACACTGTTGGTGGGAATGTGAACTGGTGCAGCCACTCTGGAAAACTGTGTGGAGGTTCCTCAAAGAGTTAAAAATAGACCTGCCCTACGACCCAGCAATTGCACTGTTAGGGATTTACCCCAAAGATTCAGATGCAATGAAATGCCGGGACACCTGCACCCCGATGTTTCTAGCAGCCATGTCCACAATAGCCAAACTGTGGAAGGAGCCTCGGTGCCCATCGAAAGATGAATGGATAAAGAAGATGTGGTTTATGTATACAATGGAATATTACTCAGCCATTAGAAACGACAAATACCCACCATTTGCTTCAACGTGGATGGAACTGGAGGGTATTATGCTGAGTGAAGTAAGTCAATCGGAGAAGGACAAACAGTGTATGCTCTCATTCATTTGGGGAATATGAATAATAGTGAAGGGGAATATAAGGGAAGGGAGAAGAAATGTGTGGGAGATATCAGAAAGGGAGACAGAACATAAAGACTTCTAACTCTGGGAAACGAACTAGGGGTGGTGGAAGGGGAGGAGGGCGGGGGGTGGGGGTGAATGGGTGATGGGCACGGAGGGGGACACTTGACGGGATGAGCACTGGGTGTTATTCTGTATGTTGGTAAATTGAACACGAATAAAAATTAATTTATTAAAAAAAAAAGCAAAAGGGTTATTTCATGACCTTTTGATGTCATCTAAAGTCATGCTACTCAAAATGTGGTTTGCTGACTAGCAATGTCACCTGATTCTCAGGCCAAGCCCAAGACCTACTAAATCAAAATTTCTAGGAGCAGGACCCAGAAGTCTGTCTTTTCATATAGTCTGGGAAGCACTGATCAGAGCAGCTTGCCCAAGGGTCCTCTCACTCTCTATAGGAATGCAACATAGTTTGTACCGTTGATTTGGGCTCAGACCTTGTACAATACTAGTAAGATGGTGATGATTTTATTTCCTTCCCAGATAGAAAGGACAACCCTAAATATTATGGTTTTACTGCCTTCTTGGCTACAAACCAGTTTTGCATCTGATTTTGGACTCTTACCTCAGCTCTCCTTGCTTCCCCCACTGACGACAGAAGTCCTATTTTCTCATTTTCTCTTCTGATCCAGCATTGCCATCTTCCTGGTTCCCTCATTAATGAACTAAATAAAACTCTGACATGTGCTTACTTATCTATATGAAAATCAGGTTTTTAATATTTTGGGAATTACACTTTGACAGAAGGATAACTGAGAGAAGACAGGCCCCATGTCTTCTTCAGACTCCTGGTTGACTACTACTGTCACAACACTCTGTCTCCATCTATTTATTACAAACAACAGAAGCTGATCCAAATTAGCATAAATAAGAAGGAATTCATTAGAAGCCCAGAAGGGTCTCATGGGACTCAGTTCTGGGAAAGATAGCCAGGCCTCACACTCCCCCACTGCAAATGCTCCCTCTGGTTAGGAGCACCACTCTCTGGCTTCATTAAAGATTGGCTTCCCTGTTTACTTATCAGCCTGAACGTGGCTAAAAACAGATCTCATTGATCTTCCAGCCCCAGGATCTGACTTGTCCCTGACAAACCAATAAATCAACTAGATTTGGGTACTTGCTCACTTGCTGGGGGAGGGGAAGGACCACTCACCAGAAGCTGAGGTTAGAGTATATATTCTAAGAAGCACCGATGGGCAAGCATGGCAGATTTACCTTTGACATTCTGCCCCTTAATAAGACTGCTTTAGAGAATCAGGACAGAGAGACGATGAAAGGGGTGTTCTTGCCAGGGCTCCCTGCCTTAGACTTGAAAGTGGTCTTGGGACCAATTTAATCCAAACTATCCCTGAGGCCTAGCAGATGGGAAAGCCCTTCAGCTTCTGAAAAGGGCAGAGTTAAGGCTGAAGAAAGAGAGGATGATTTTTAATTAAAACTCTTTGAAATGGAACCTAATAAAAAACATCATTTTTAGGGGTTATACACTTAGTTAATTGATCATTGAGAAAATCATGTCACACTGGCATGCATTTTTAGCCAAAATACTTATAATAAATCTCTGAATTTCATCGCCTTAGTACAAGTTTATTTTCCGCCCACAGTGGTATAAACATAAGCAGGTAACCCTGATCAGTGGGTAAGAGTTCTTTACTTTGCTTAGGTCTTTAAAATTTCTCATCAGTAATGCTTTGTGCATATTTTGTTAAATTTACAGATATTGGAGGATTTTGATACTAGTTTAGGAATCATATTTTTACGTGTCATCCTTGCGCAGGGGCCATGATAATCTTCTCTGAATCGTTCCAATTTTAGTATACGTGCTGCCGAAGCGAGCACAGGAATCATATTTTTAAAAAGAATACATTTTCTAATCATTTCTTGCCAGTATTTGGAAATATAATTTGTTTTCTTAGATTGATCTTGGCATATTTATCTAACAATCAGGCTAAATCCACTTAGTCACTTAATAATTGATAGGTACATTCTTTTGTATTTTCTACATGATCATATTGTCAGAATACCTTTATTTCTAATTCTTATGCCTTTGTCATCTGGAGGATAGTCAGATAATAATTATGGTAGAACATTAGTGAATTAAGTATTCTTCTTAAGAAGTTAAAAAAGAGGAGCGAAATAAACTCAAAGAAAGTAGAAGGAAACAACAAAGATTAATGCAGGAAATGAACACATAATAAAGAAGATCCACAAAGCAAAAGTTTTGTTTTTAAGACTAATAAAATTGACATACTCTGCAAGATTAATAAAAGAGAGAGAGAGGAGGGTGTGATCCTGGAGACCCGAGATCGAGTCCCACGTCGGGCTCCCTGTGTGGATCCTGCTTCTCCCTCTGCCTGGGTCTTGGCCTCTCTCTCTCTCTGTGTCTCTCATGAATAAATAAGTAAAATCTTTAAAAAGAGAGAGAGAGAGAAAGAGGAGGCACAAGTTAACAATAGTAACTGACTTTCTAATGTAAATGTAAAAATCGTGTAATGTAAAAATGTAAAAAAGCATAATTGGATATATTAAAAAGAAAATACCATCTTTTGAACAACTTAATGCCAACGAATTGAAAAAAAATTAGATAAAATTGAAAAATCCTAGAAAAATATAAAACACCAAAACTGATTCAAGAGGAAATAGAAAATGTAAATAGTTCCATAATCAATAAAAATAGTCAAATAACAGGAAATATCCCCACAAAAAAATTAATCCAGCTCCAGGCAGTTTTGCTCAGTGATATCAAACATTCAAGGAACAAAAAGGTCAGTTTTATAAAAATTATTCCAGAACATGTGAATGTAACCTGTCTTAATACCAAACTTGGCAAGGATGGTACAAGAAATGCAAATTAATCCAATGCTATTTATGAACATAGGTACATTCTACACAAAAATATTAGCAGACTTAACTCAGCAATGTGAAATTTAATAATATATCATGAATAAGCTGTAATTATCCACAAAATGTGAAGTTCTTACATTAGAAAGTTAATTACTATGATTCACTATGCCTCTTCCAGGAGGATACAGAGGTCACAAGGAGCACGAAGGTCATAAAGCTTCAAGGGCCCCTCACCGGGTCACCAGCTCTATGTTCCCATGACTGTGTTTGTAAAAATATTTTAAATGGTGTTTTAGCCACAATAAATTAAGACCACTGTCTTTTGCCTGTCGTCTTGGGTCAGGTGACTTCATCACGGCTGTGAACTCCGTGGGATCCCGCTGAGAGGTCAGAGGTTAACGAGGATGTACCGGAGCGTGGTTTAGTGGGATGTACGTGGTTTCCAGCCCCCTGAACCTATAGTTGGGCTGGTGTTAGCTCCCCCCCTGCAAAGGACTTCCTGGAAGTCTCCCACTCACTGTGCTGACGCAGTGAAGTGACACGGGGTGTGGGGCCGGAGGCGCTGCCGTTCTGCATGAGTCCCCAGCACCCACTCTGGAACTAGGAGGAGCTCAAGAGATGCAAGGCTCCAAGAGTACCCAGTGCAAGGCTGCGAAGCATTCTTTGAATCACGGATGGATAAAACTGTAGTTGGAGAATTCTGTGCTAATCATCTTTGTCAGAAGGGAAGTTCTCTGCTGTCAGAAACGTACTTGGGAAGGTAGCGTGGACACGGATAAACACCCCTTACAGTCTTTCATATTATGACGGAAAGTCTCAAAAAATAGAATTTAGCCTGAATTCCTGCGTGTCCTACAAATGCTGAGCCCATCCTGAATGTGAAGTTGTGTTTTCTGCACGCATATCAGATCATGCTTTTGTGCATCTGATCTATCCAGTTCTGAGGAAGCCTGATGGTTGCAGAGGAAACAGCACGCAAGCAGCAGCCCGACGAGACGTGTTTCCTTGAACAAAAGTCCGACCCAGATTTGTCTCTGATTCACTGTGCAGCATAAGAGTAATTTATTGTACAAGCATGCAGCTCAATACAATAACTTATGAAGCTGAAAGTAACTTTTCTATACCATTAATAAATAATGAGAAAAAATATTTTTTTGCTAAAACGCTGAATTTTTTTTTTCTCTTTAGAAAAGATTACACAATTGTTATTGTATGAAGTGTTAATCAGAGCATATGGAGCCCAAAACTGTGTGGGAAGGGTCTTGCCCTTCCCGTCTTTAAAACTTGATTTCTTCAGGACGCCTGGGGGGCTCAGCGGTTGAGCATCTGCCTTAGGCTCAGGTCGCGACCCCGAGGTCCTGGGATCGAGTCCCGCGTCGGGCTCCCTGCCTGGAGCCTGCTTCTCCCTCTGCCTGTGTCTCTGCCTCTCTCTGTGTCTCATGAATAAATAAATAAAGTCTTTAAACAAAACAAAACCAATTTGATTTCTCTTTAGAGAAATGAGGAGTTTGGATTAAACAGATTCTAAAGCTCACCTTCACTTGAAGATTTTATGAACGTGCATTGCAGAGTCAGCCCAAACCTGAATATTATTTATGAATAATATTGTCACCACTGAGCTGTTCTTGCTCCCCAGGAATTTATGGCCCAGTGAGCCAGGATCGGCCCTTGGTTTGTTGTGACAGGGCCACGTTTGCTGGGAGCTCTGTTCCTTCGTTCCCAGGCCGAATCCTGGGCCCAAGGAGCCCCATTTCTGACTGCTGAAGTTTGGAGGCTGTGCCTGAGCATGTTGTCGTGAGGACGCTGCTCCATTCCAGCAGGAGTTACCGGGCCTCTGGTTAAGTTGCCATCGTGGTCTCTGTGATCCTCCGACAAGTCCTGCCCGTGGGCCCCATGACGGGAGGTACCCCTGCCTGGCAGTCTGGGCTGTGACGCCATGACGCCATGACTTTGCTTTCATGGACCCTAACGTCTAATAGGATACCCTGTTTGATGTCTGATTGCTCTGAGGGGATGGTCTAGGACACTAGCGGTGACTTCTGCCGAAGGGATGATGCTTATTGTCATGTGGGACATTGGCGTGACAGTGCTCTGCAGTTCTTTTTGCTAAGGAACCATTGTCCATATAAATGTCAAAAGCAAAATTTCCGTCAACCAGCTAACGTTCATTCTATAATAGAATAATGGCGGTGTGTGCTTCCGTAGACACTTCTATTCTTATTTCCGTGCCTAAGTTAACCAATGGCTGTTTCTGTTCATTTTCCTCTGCTGGTTTGATTTGCATCCCTTCTTTTCCTGACTTTAGGGTTTGAGTTCGATTTCTGAATTCAATGGGGGGATTCTGGCCATGTCAAAATGACAGTTTTTGAAGCTGGCAAGATCATAATTGTGTTTGGGTTTGGGTTCAATTCTGATTTCCAAAGATAACTTAAGGAGGTGCCAACAGCCCTTCATAAGGTCAGTTGCATAAGCAGGTAATTAGTTTGAGAACGGAGTGTCAACATGGATAAAAGCTGCTAATTTGGTGATTTTTAAAGCTGTTTGAGCTGAGGCAGACACCTCTTAAATAAGACTCTTGTCTGCTATGGCTGTTTTTGAAGATTACACGCGAGTCAGTTAGATGATTCATTCACTAATCCCCTCAATAAATATTTGCTAAGGCACAGGGCGAGAAGCCACTGACCGCCTCACAGAGACGCTGCAGCTGTGCCGACCGAGGGTTAGCACGAAGAAGATGCAAGTTACGGGTCACCTTGACCCAGAAGAGGAAGCCCTGCCTCTGGAGTTCCGCTCTGAGGATGGGACGCCGATAGATGGTGTTGATCTACGCTGGCTTGGCAGACGCTTAATGGCGCAAGAGGGGGAAAAAAAAAAGAAAATGGCTCAACACCAGTATGGTCCTTTGGAGATCCAGAAACATCAACTCTATTTAAGGAAGAAAGTAGTCATTTGGTTGCTGCTGCAGAGGACTAAGTCACAAAACCAAAAAAAAAAAAAAAATTACATGGAGCAAAAGGTACAAACCGTGCGGTCACGTGTAAGTCTCTTCAGATGGGTAAACCATTGCTCCACAGATGGGTCAAATTACTAGCATGATGCAAGCACAGTTCTAGAACATGCCACTAATTCAGTCACTGAAACACTCAAGCAATAGCTTTCAGTGGCGCTCTGCGCTCGGCCTGGCTGGGTGCTGAAGACTCAGAGAGGAATAAGCCGCACGGAGGCTGGTGTAAGGGGCTGGTAGGTGAACCAGCACTACGGGACAGCTGGGAAAGCCCAATGGCCGAGTACTCGAAGGCGCCGGGTGCAGGGGTGAGGCCGTGGCGAGGAGGGACATGAGGAGAGAGCGGATGGCTAACGCCATTGACAGCCTATCCCTTGGCCATGTCCCTGCTCATCCTTGCCGATAGGAACTTGCCTAAGAAGAGGAAGAATGCATTCAAAGAAGAGGGGCTCCCCCCCCCCAGTCACACGTAAACCATAGCAATGCTTCTCCTTTGCCAAGGATTTCTCCAGGGGGAGCGAGGAGCCTAGACCCCCCTAATGGGCCCAGCGGGAGAGTCTGCTGGGAGGGATTTCCCTCTCTGATAAAAGAAGATGTCCTGGGGCAGGGGCAGGGGGAAGCTGTTATTTTTTTCCACCTTTGGATGTGGTTTCAGTGGATCTGATGTTTGGAGTCGAGGCCTGCGGTGTGAGACCACGTGGGGAAAGCCGAGGCACGGAGGAGGCCGCTGACGGCGCAGACATCGTCAGGCTGCTGAGTTAGCTGGCTCGGGAGCTGCCTGCGGTGCACGGCCTGCCAGGAGGATTCCAAGCCTCTGCGTCTTACGGTCTTAAATCTCTAGCTTGAAGCTGAAAGCATCCCGACTGGTACGAGAGGCTTCCTACAGGGGGTTCTGAGTGGAGTCCTGAAGAATGCATGAGACGTCACCAAAGAGGTGGGTCTGGGAGGGACGCTGGGCCGCCAGCCGGGCCTCATATGGGGAAGCACAAGC